TTGAATGTATATGTCACTCAAATATGAACGGAACGGGGACGTGTCATTGACAATGACTTGTTTTTTCTGACATTGGAGTTTTCCTCTTTTTTTCAGATTTTTATTCAAACTACATGTATAAGACAAGTATTATTATATATTGCCAAAGTATCCAGATATAACATGCGACAAAGCAGTATTAATGATATTGTGGATGAAAGCATTTAGAGGAACAATGAGTGCAGATTTCAGTTCAGTAAAGCGGATGTTGGAACACATGCAGATAGTAAGCCAAATATGTGCGAAGAGTTTCAGTCAACCAAGTGCTTTAAAACAGGACATGCGATTACACACTGGTGCTAAACATTTTCCTTGCCAACATTGTGAGAAAATTTTCAGTCAACCAAGTGCTTTAAAACAGGACATGCGATTACACACTGGTGCTAAACATTTTCCTTGCCAACATTGTGAGAAAATTTTCAGTCAACCAAGTGCTTTAAAACAGGACATGCGATTACACACTGGTGCTAAACATTTTCCTTGCCAACATTGTGAGAAAATTTTCAGTCAACCAAGTGCTTTAAAACAGGACATGCGATTACACACTGGTGCTAAACCTTTTCCTTGCCAACATTGTGAGAAAAGTTTCAGTCAACCATGGGGTTTAAAACAGCATATGCGAATACATACAGTTGCTAAACCCTTTCTTTTGCAAACATTGTGAGGAAAGTTTTAGTCGACCAAGGGGTTTAAAACAGCATATGCGAGTACATGCAGAGGGCAAACTATTTCATTGCCAAGAATGCAAGAAGAGTTTTAGTCACTCAGTTCCATTAAAACAACATATGCAAACACATGCAAGTACAGGAGATAAACCTTTAGGATGCCAACATTGTGAGATGAGTTTCAGTCAGTCAAGGTATTTACAACAACATATGACAACACATGCAGACAATAAACATCAGTGCCAACTGTGTAAGCAGAGTTTCAGTCAAACAAGTTATCTAAAGTGGGACACAATTTTGAGACATACGAGTAATACTCCTTTTCATTGTCAAAAATGTCGGAAGAGTTTTTGTGTGTCAAGTAAACTAATTCAGCAAGATGTTCAACATGACACCAATAAAACATTTGTGTTTCAACATCCTGAATGTCACTATACACCTACCTCTAAAGTTCTAACAGGTAGGTTAACAAATAAAAACTACACAACGTTTGCCGACCATTTACGTTCGAGCTTCCCTGCCTTGTTGGAAACTGACTTGAGATATGAGACTCAAAATGAGGGCGGTCCATTCACAGAAAATAATCTGGAAATATTCAGGATTACATTTTTGTTTTAAATCTATACATTATATGATGATTACCTTTTATGGAAATTTTGTTCAGAGGTTGAGTTCATATTCAGTGTATAATTTACTATACATACTTTCCAATCATTATGCCATTCCAGTTTATATCTACACCCCCCTGTTGATGTGGTCGGATTTCCAGCACTGTATGATGGGGAAAATATCCCGGAATTCAACTGTATATGGAGAAACAGAATCTTGAAATCCAGAC